AGTATAATGCTGTTTTTGTGTTCCCACGTGTGTAATGGAGTTTTGCCTTTGTCTTGGGAGATAGTTGAGTTACTTCCCAATTATCTCCCAGGGCAGAGGGGAGGAAGCCAGGATGCATTGTGGGAATATACTGTGACTGTGTGTCCTTTTTGTATACTTGTCTGTCCCTTGTCACAGTCTCCCATTTGGTCCCCTAGGGGGGTGTCCACCAGGTGGGAGACCTGTATAAAAGCTGGGCAGGTAGCCCTCATTAAACAGACCACTGCTTGACCCTCAACACGGAGCCTTGTCTCGTCTTTGGGGGGATTTACAGTATGCTGCTAAGGACTGATTGCCAGGAGTGTAAGCCGCTTGGAAGCTTTTCCTGTTCGCCTGCTAGCAGCTATTCGTATGGTTCCTGTTCGTTTATTTGAAGTGCTACCTTAATCCCTTGTATGCCGTTCGAGAGTTTGGAGCATTCACTTATTGGCGGTTCGTGAGTTTTAGCCCTCATTAAACAGACCACTGCTTGACCCTCAACACGGAGCCTTGTCTCGTCTTTGGGGGGATTTACTGTATGCTGCTAAGGACTGATTGCCAGGAGTGTAAGCCGCTTGGAAGCTTTTCCTGTTCGCCTGCTAGCAGCTATTCTTATGGTTCCTGTTCGTTTATTGGAAGTGCTACCTTATTCCCTTGTATGCCGTTCGGGAGTTTGGAGCATTCACTTATTGGCGGTTCGTGAGTTTTGGTGATTATTCAGTAGCTGTGCCTGTCTCTGAAAAGGGGGATTATCGTCTAAGCGGTTTTTTCCCCTTTTGTGCAAAACGGTCCGTTACAATTGGTGGCAGCGGTGGGATCGTTCCCACAGACTACAGGACAGCTACAGGCAACACCATTCCGTGGATTTACAATTTGAGGGCAACGCATGTCTGAGTACAGCGACCCTGACGGCAACAGCATGGAACCAGCAGTGTCATACGAGGAGGAGGACCTGGATGGCCGGGATGCATTAAGGAAAGGCATCTGGTACCAGGCCCTGGATAATGTACAGTACCAGAGGGGTGAGAGTCTCCCCAGTGAAGAGCAGCGGTTGCAGAAGCAAGTGGCCCTGCGGATGCCCTTCCTGGGAGAGCAGCCCCTGGATGAATGGGTGAAGGAATTGGAGCACCGGGTATGGCAGGAGATTTGGCTTGAAGATGCCTATCAGGCGCTTTGGTGGTATGGGGCACAGTACCTGCCCTGGACAGCCGAGCATGACAAGCCAGAGGGAGAGGAGTTTGATGGTCCTGGCTTGTTATGGGAGGCTTTTCCAGAGCCTGAATTTGGGAGCCCTACACAAGCCCGGTTCAGTGATCTCTTGGAGTGGAGGGAGAGCAGGTATGACTGGGACGACACTCACGACATTGAGCAAGACCTGGCTCACCTGGCAACCCTGGAGTGGGAACTGGAGCAGGGATACCGAGATCTCTTCCACTCCATTGAGAAGATTCAGCAGGACAGCAAGGTGACAGAGCCAGAACCAGACCCATTCAGCTGGGAAGACATTGTGGATATTTTCTGGGAAGAACCCCAGGTGGCCGGTAGAGATGGGACCGAGGTCTCTCCACCGGTCCTGCAGGGAATTGGGAGCCTAGTCTCCATTCCCCAGCGGCAGAGTGAATTGCAGGGAATTGGAAGCCCAGTCTCCATTCCCCAGCGGGAGATATTGCAGGGAATTGGGAGCCTGAGCTCCATTCTCCAGCGGCAGGCTGAGTTACAGGGGACAGAGATAGTCGCTCCTGTCCCCCAGCAGCAGAATGAATTGCAGGGAATTGGGAGCCTGAGCTCCATTCCCCAGCGGGAGAAATTGCAGGGAATTGGGAGCCCGAGCTCCATTCCCCAGCGGGAGATATTGCAGGGAATTGGGAGCCTGAGCTCCATTCCCCGGCGGCAGGCTGAGTTACAGGGGACAGAGATAGTTGCTCCTGTCCCCCAGCAGCAGAATGAATTGCAGGGAATTGGGAGCCCAGTCTCCATTCCCCAGCGGGAGAAATTGCAGGGAATTGGGATCCCGAGCTCCATTCCCCAGCGGGAGATATTGCAGGGAATCGGGAGCCCAGTCTCCATTCCCCAGCGGCAGGCTGAGTTACAGGGGACAGAGATAGTTGCTCCTGTCCCCCAGCAGCAGAATGAATTGCAGGGAATTGGGAGCCCAGTCTCCATTCCCCAGCGGCAGAATGATTTATTGGGAATTGGGAGCCAAGTCTCCATTCCCCAGCTGCAGAGTGTTCTACCGGGAATAGAGAGCCCAGTCTCCTTTCCCCAGCAGCAGGACTCTGTATTGGGAGCAGAGACAGATGGTCTCCCTCCCCCGCGGCTGGAAGTATATATGGGAGAGGAGCTTGTTACCCCCTCTCCCCAGCGGCAGCTTAATGTACCAGGGGGAGACAGTAAGCCCCACAACCGTGCAGATGGGACCGTAGTCTCTACACTGCCAGCACAAGGGGTAGGGACGGTCGGTCCTGCCCCCCAGCGACAGGGCTGTTTAGCCAAAGGGGAGACAGTCGGTCTCCCCCTCCAGCAGCAGAGATGGGTAACCAAAGGGGAGACGGTCGGTCTCCAGCAGCAGGACTGTGCATCTAAAGGGGAGACGGTCAGTCTCCAGCAGCAGCAGCAGAGCGGTATATTTAAAGGGGAGACAGTCGGTCTCCCCCTCCAACAACCAGGCTTCAACCA